TAAAAGTGCTTGTTTTTGCCACTGACGGGCTGAGATTGTTAAGTGTCTGATGACATTATGAAAAGGATCCCTACAGAAAGAGATTTTTTGATAGCTGTAATATTACAAAGGCCACCAAACTCCATAGACAAAAACGGTAATTTTACTTTGCATATCATTGTAACATGGTAACATTGCTCTAATTGGACAGAAACCAAATAAAACTCACCAAAACCGTCTTTGTTAGTCTTTCCACTGTTCCAACAATCACAAACTCTGGTTTGGTGGAAATAAATCCTTAATTCACCAATGTAAATTAGAATAACAGTTTCAGTCGCTCTACTCTACCGACTTTGTAAAAAACCACAAAGAGGCTGCGATAGCAACACAGGCAGAGGGAGTGTGACGCCATGACTCCACTATATCTTTACATAGTGTTAGAGGTACATTTATGTTTTAAATCTCATATATCGTATAGAACCTTTAACTACAGTTTGCTTTAGAGAGAGAAAGGGAATTCTCTACATGCTTCCCTGTCACAGTTGGCCTTTATTGTGTGTTCATCCAATTTTGTATTTATATGTTTTGAATCATAATATTGCCTAATGGCATTTTTTCACACAGCTTCACAACCACTCTGTGGTCGGCCTTCACAGGGAGGACGTTTCAGTATGGCTACTTTTGCTGCTACTGTTCCCTGGCCCCACGCTCATGGTCCACACACTCGGTTAGAGAGAGCAGGGATAATTCTGATGTACATATGACTAGTTGATTCTGGCCTTCTAACAGTGTAGCGTTTCAAACACATTCCACACTTGGACTTCACTTGCAGTTACACCAGGACCACACTACAGCCGACACAGTACCCAGACTGGAGTCATATGGCCTGACAGCGCACCATGACCATGAGTTCTTATTGAGTCCTAAGTTTAAATATAATTCAAAAAATGATTACGTTTGCATCAATAATATAATATACCTCCTCTTATTTTATACCCTTGTTAAAAAGGGGCATACTTTGCAGAATATCTTACGCGGCTATAAATATGCTCAGAAAGCACATTATCTAATGACACTGTCTCTTTGTCTATGTTGATTATGTGTAAAAATTGTGTGTATGCACGTATTAGTCATGCCTGCCTAACCATGTTATGGTACAGAACAACTGCATTGTATCTACAGTAAGCATAACAAACTGCTGGACAGTCACACAGCAGTCCAGGCTACTAACTGTACACTGACAATATCAACCAGGAAACACTGCCAGGGAGAATTAGAGGTGTGTGTATGTGTGTGTCCTGTGTGTCCTGTGGGCTGCCTTGCTGGCAGTAGAAGATAATGGATTTGGACAACTCACAAATAAGGACATGACTAGCTCTGGCTGTAAAAAACAAGCTCACTCTTATCCCTTCCCTTCTCCGTTTTATCTTGTTCCCGTCCAGTAACTCACTGTCCCCTTCTTTCCATTTTTTTCTTTTCTTTTCTTCTTTCTTTAAGTAGATGAGAAAAAAACATCATGGCCAAAATGATAACACAACAGAACTCTCTTTAAACTAAACCTGGACACTCTTTCCTTATTTTTTTGTCTCTCTGTCACTGTGATTGACAGATACATTTGAGTCTTTCTTCATGCTTTTGATCCAGTTACCTCATTTCTTATAAGATCTAATATACCTGTGAATCTTATCATCCCTAAAACTATTTTCACAACTTAATTATCTCATTTTCTTGAGATAATGATTCAATGAGTCAGGAGGAGTGTTACAACCTGAATGGTCATCGGCACATAGTGCTGTGAGTGGAGGGGCCAAAAGTCTGCATGACAAGCATTGCTTGGTCAGTGGCCCTCTGCTTCAAAATATGACGCCGTAGGCGTCTTTCTGGAGTAACTTCTGGCTGCGCAGGGCTCTGCGGTCAAGTTAGCAATAATAAATATGCAACGTCCAGTTGGACTTTCAAAATAAAGCTTGTGTGGTTAATGTTGGGAATTAGGGTTAGCCATAAACTACTTACCCAAAAGAAATTGTTCAGTTTTGGTTTCACAACGGACACCAACAGCGGTCTCCTAGGTTAAAGTCCTGTGTTGGTTTGATTCACTGAATTTCCAGAGCTATGGCTCACCAGGCGATGTCTTTATAATGATGGGATTGTGGGTCGTATAGCTTGGGATATTTCTGAAACTCTGAAACTTCTCAAACTCTAATCTCTCCTCAATCATTTTTTGCACACATGAGCAATAGCAAGAGGTGAGTAGAGGGCGGAAGAGGAAGCTGTCAAAGAAGCAGAGAAGCTGCGTCCACGAGCGTGTAGCCACCCCCGATGTGAAGGTTAAACATAGAAAGTAATAAGGGTGGCTGTTTTGATGTGCGAAGTTCGGCAGCAGTGTGTTTTAGCCTCCAACAGCTGCTCTTCTGCCTTACCAGTAAAACCTCTTGTTGTGCAAGATGATCAGTTCCTGGCGTCAGTGATAACATCAGAGAAGTAACTGGTGAAAGGTGGCTTATTCCCGCACTGCGTTTGTGTGAAGAATCACAGAAGCAGAGGATAGATGTCTCTGCCATATGTCACTGACTTACAGGATAGATGTGTAGCCTCCATGGATCGATATGTTGACGTTGTTAAGCTAATTGAATATGTCAGCCACATTTGGCAATTTCAGTATCCACTCCTGGTTAGATGATAATCAAACTGAATTGCCATTCAGCTTTCACTTCATTATGGAGTCTGACATCATGTCAATGCTAGCAGTTAATGTTTGTCAAGTTGTGTTGTTATTTAGAACAGTCTGCATAGCTGGTACAGGAATATGACATCCCCATTCTTAATCCTGCTCACACAGCTGTAAGTGACCAAGTCTAAAAAATAAAAATAAAAATCTGAGATGTGAGGCAGCAGAACCAGACCTGGCCTGATCTGAAATCTGAAATCTGAAATCAGAAAGCATTAAGCTGTTTAAATAACCTCCAATAGAAAAGAAAACAATATCTTTCCCTCTCACAGATAGCGAGTTGCACTAGCTGTGTGTGTTGCCTCTGTCCAAAGCATGACCCCTACTCCAGTCAAAGAAGACACCCAGTTTGTCAAGGAATTGACTATTTATTACAAATAGTTATATGGTTGGATTTGGTGGAAAAGATGTGCTCACTGAGGGATAGTACAAATGCAGTGATAGCTGTATCTTAGCAATTCTAAGCCCTTCTAAAGGCTTCGCTCACATGGAGGAGGGTTCAGGCGGTGGAGGGAGCAGTGCCAGCAAACACTGATGGCATGAGGTTCTCAGCAGAGCAATCAACTGATTGTTAAAAAGGCTACCTAGAACACTTGTGTAAAGTGATTGGATGTTACTAGTCAACCCGTATTCAATCAGATAATGCATCCTGAGAAAATGAGTATAAATGGTTTCTAGCTAGGGTTTCCTGCAGCATATTACAGCAGAGGCTTGCTTCCTTGCCTGAAATAAAGCCTACAGTAACATGAAGAGAAAGAGAGAAGGAGAGTGTCATCTACAAACTCAATTAAATCACTAGGCCAGGCATTCTACTGTAGGTCTGATTAAGCTCAGCGGGTAACACTGATTGTAACACTGGGGTTCCTTATCTGAACCGAGGGTCTAAGGACAGAGGGCATTGTATCCTGTACAGATTGCCAAAAGTAATTTAGGTGAAGATGTGTAGGGAAAACTACAGGAAAGAAACAGGCAGAGGAATACTGCTGGTCAAGCACAATGTTGTAAGTTAGTATGTGTAAATAAACTTCATACCAGAATCACACTCACTGAAGTACTGCACTGGAAATTCCAGGCACAGTGCCAAAGCCTGGAATTCAGTCAGGACCAAATAGACACTCACTAGGGAAAAGACAATAGTTCCTTGACTAAACTTGACTATGGTCTGTCATTGTTTCATCTTCCTCGTGTTGTCCTGTTAAAGGTATTTTGTCTTGCAATAAAAAAATGTCCCTATCAAGTACTAAACTGCAGCTTATTAGTGCCATGCCAAATAATTAAGTCACATGCATTTTCATCATGTCCAGTTCTTGTGCTTTCTCGTCTCGCAGGTTCTCATGGATCCTGGTGGAGCCTCCTGCCATGGTCCTGCTTGACTGCCATTGCCAATATCACTGATATCAGTGTTATTATTATTATAAGTATTATTATAGCTACGGTTACTGTTGTTGCTGTTGTCACTGCTCATTGTCCCCCATCGTTGCTGTTGTCATCTTCATCATCATCAGTCACTACTATTAGTGTAGTTGTTGCTACTGTTGTTGCTGTGCACCTGTCTGTCTGTCTGTCTCTTTCTCTCTCTTTCTCTCTCTCTCTCTCTCTCTCTCTCTCTCACACCCCAACTGGTCGAGACAGAAGACCACCCACCTAGAGCCGGAGGATCTGTCCTAGGTTTCTGCCTTTTAACAGGCAGTTTTTCCTTGCCCTTGTCTCCCAAGTGCTTGCAACTGTTCCTTCAAAAACAACAATGCTAAACAGGGTAGATGCTGCTAGCATTAGTTATATCAGAACTGGAGAGTATTCCTTCACTGAAGAGCAAAGAACACAACTGACAGTTCTTCTTGGTTTTCTTGAAAAGATGTTCTTTGCTCTTCTCCGGGCTGGCTTACTGGTTTGTTGATCTGATTGGTTGAAGTTAGCCAGTGATAGTAATAGATGATTCATCAAATCACCTGCCAAGTATTTTTTTGTAAGTGCCTGCCATTTTCAACAGTTTCTAAGTACGACTTCTCAGATGGTTCTCTGTAACAAACCCTCTGGCCCCTCAGGTTATTTTGGGTTCTCACTACCTCACGACCTCACAATGAAATGATAATAAACGTTTGTGAGTACACAGGTTCAGCCTAGTAAGCTGTGTCCTCTAAAGGAAGTGATTCGATCAGGACATCCCTTGCTGCTCCAGTTCTCTATTGTGTCTGTAGTCTTGGACATTGTTGCCTCTGCCTTGGAGATAATATCAGTGTGTTCTAAGGTTTATGCAAGAGAACAAAGCAAGCGCACATCCAAACACATTTACCTCTCTCACAGGTGCGTGACCAGTAACCAGTGCCAGTGCAGTCGCAGATGAAACGATTCCAGCCTTCTTTGCAGACACCTCGGTTCTTGCATGGGTAGCTCTCACACTGCTTGCCAGGCTGCTTGTTGCACGAGGGTTTGATGCCAGCGCCGTTTTGTGCTTCAGCAATCTGACGGATGTCCTTGCTTCGACCGTCAATAAAAAGGTCACGGATACAGCCCACATAGCCGTAGTTGAGCATCGCTGTCCAGAGCTCAGTGGGCAGGATGAGGTTGGTGCGGTCGTTGGGAAGCCCCCCCAAGTACATGTCGCCTTCCAGGTCCAGAATTTCACTCTCACCACTGGCAGTGAACGGGGTCCTCCTGCTGTTTACAGAGATGGTGCCTATGGTGTGAATAGAGGGAGAAAAAATCAGATACATTGATATCAACAGTTGTACAAGACAGAATGATGATGTCAGGAAGAAATCATACTGCGTACACAGTGATGAAACAATGCAGTATTATTCAGCCTGATCAGAACACAAGAAAGCTTTGACTTCTTTTTAGTATTTTGTGAAGACATTTCTTGCAGCGATTTTTAAAATGTATTTCAAAGAGGTGGTATTATAGTATTATATATAACATATATTATACGGTATTTTTTAAATTTAAATTCTATTAGAGCTAATACTGTTTCATCAAATTCAACAACACAACTGACCCGAGCGTCCATCTCTCTGGATGTCCACGTGATACCAGGCACCATCATTGACCTTTGTCTGGGTGGACTTCACCTTGATAGTCCCTGAGCCCATATCCAACAGCAGGTACAGGCTGCCATCCAGCAGCTCCACTGCAAAGAAATCCACCTGGACAAGTGCAAAAGAAGACATCAACAGAGATTACCTTTACATCAAAGAACTCTTTCTGAAAAAAGGAATTCAAGATATGGTTCTTTGTGTTCATGTACAGAGAAGTTGGATGCATTTTATCGCGACAAAGAAAACCGAAAATGGAGACCTGAGAGGTCTGAGAAGAGCAATGACAAATTTACAATACAGTTCAGTAATACATGGAAGCAAAGATAAATCATGAAGCAATTGTTGCCATGGAAAATATAATCTGTGACATCAGTGTTGGGTGTGGTCACAGGTGCAACAGGGCACACTTCTGACCACACCCAACCACACCCAGACCAGACCAGATTCCTAGACCAGTGGGAACACAGTGCCTCAAGTGGTCACAAGATAAATATGAAGGGGTCAAGAGTTGATTAACAACATAGAAAATATGAGAAAAACATTTCTTATACAGAAATTATTTATATTTTTATGACATTTCTCCAACCATTGCTGTAAGAAAGTACTACATAATTTTACATATTTACATGTTTAAAATTTTAAATTAAACAATTTGAGAGGGGAACATCACTCTGTGGTTAGAGAAGAATGAAGGTTCGAGAGTATACATTGAGAACCACTCCACTAAAGAAATTCTAATAATGTATGATGCCTTTTCTCAAGTTATGCAGGTCATAGATATTGTATCTTTTTCTTAATGACATTTTCATCCAAGAGGATTCATCAGTCCTTCCAACTGCAAGTCCAGCTGCCTTTTGCCATTATATTTAAAGATATCATTAGGATGGAATTTCTTAAAGGACCAGTGTGTAGGACTTAGTTGCAATGATTCATATATTCAGGTGATTATACACTAACAAAAACATACCTACGAATATTATATTCCTATTCTGCCAATAGATCGTCCTAAATGTTACACACTGGACCTTTAAAGCGGAACTGAAATTAAAGAGTGATCTTGTGGATTATAGACTGACCTTGGTGTTCTTCTGACTGCGGGCAGCGTCTTTTCGCTCCTGGGGTTTGCCATGGGTGAAGAGGATAAGGCCGTTGGGCTCGGTCGTGCGGAAATCGAAAGAGATGGATCCCATCCGCTTGGTGTTCCACTTGGGGAGGCTGATGTAGGCCTCGGGAGTCTCGAAAGAAATGGGGTCCAGGGTGGCCACATTCTCACACTTGTATGACACCTCGCCCTGAATTTTCATCTTAGGGTCCACAATTCGAGCCAGGCGGGACAACTCGAGACGGATGTCGTTGTTCTTATACACCACCTGTGATAGGACAAGGATGACATTACAGTTGTCACTGAGTACTTCTGGTAAGACTTTACAGTAAAGTAACATTAATACATCAAGCTGCAAGGAAAAACCTTAAAACTAAATTGTCAATGTTTTCAAGATAAATGCAATTATCATCTTTAGATGTAAAATCTATTGTATGATGATGGACAGAGAAATCAAGCTTTAAATGGACTGCTCACATTAAAGACACAATGCAAATATCAACAGTAACAATATCATGGTTCTCCCTATCACCAGTTAACAACACACAATATGAACATGCTGTCTCTCTAAATGGACTGGCGGGTCTTCAATCCACAGATCAATACTCATACTGGCACAGCACTGGCCCACCCAGCCAAGTTTGATCAAAATACATTTTATAAAGATGAATATAAGTCCTGGAATGTAACTGGTTTTCTATAGTTCTGACACCATCCTTTCTGAGATGCTTTCATCCAGGTAGCTATATGGTCTTTCAAGCGATGTAACATTAACGCTGGCTACGATGGCTAAACTATCGTTGTTTAATGCGCTCTCTCTAAAAAGCGAGAGCTGAAGAAGTAGATACATCACCTATATATATAGCATATAATGAGTGAGGCTACTCGACCCAGTTCTTCAGACACTCCCGGTCAGCCTGACGCAGGTTCACTCAGTGATTTATCTGCAGTAGATTAACCACCATCATAGCCAATTTTGAAGGCATTTCCCTGCATAGCCAAGGTGCTTCTATTCAAAGTACTACAGACAGTTTTCTTGATTGGAATGCAGCATAATAAGGAAGCAGTTTGTTGTAAAATGTGGGTGGAGCTCATGGCCCATTTGCTAGAGAGGTAGGTTTGTGAACTGGAAGCTACAATGGCAGGCATGCCAAAAACAGCAGATGACCAAGCCGCACTTAGTTTCACTGAACATGTTTCAAGGCTAAAGGGCCAGCCAAACAGGCCAGGGAAATGTGTTAAATCAAATAAAGCATGATGCCAGGGAATATTACTTTACCAAGTGGAATCAGGACCATATAAAAGTAGTTTGGGATATAGTACTGTGTTATGCCAAGCAGGACATTCCATTACGTAGACACAGGGAAAACGCTGATACTCTCAATAAAGGAAAATGTATATAACTTTTTAAGTTAATGTGCAACATGATGTACAGATCCGAAATTGTTCAAATTCCCAGAAATAGAACAATGAGTCCAGATATGTAAACTGAGTACCAGCAGTCTCCTTATTGTTGCGCAAGATCAAAGCAGTAGTCAGTGAAATTGCTGTTTGCATGAGATATGTTCACGCAGGGAAAATACAAGACTGGGCTTCATGGACAGTGACACAGGTGTGCATGTGAACTAACTTTTCCACATTCTGTGTATGTCTACTGTAATTCAAAAGGACTAAAACCCTGCCTGTACAACTACTGCCCAGTAGCGCTCACATATACCACCGTGAAGTGCTTTGAGCAGTTAGTTAAAACCTTTACCACCTCCTCTCTTCCTGACTCACTCGGCCCACTACAGTTTGCAGACAGGCCAAACAGGTCAACAGATGAGTAACTAGTAACTGTATGTCACATGTGCATGTGTGTATGTCCATATTTCATACATAGGAGGGGGCACAACTACTGTCGCACACAATGATTACATGTCTGCAAACCAACAGTCCAAAATCCAAAAATAAGTAAATAAAAGTATTGTCACGTTTGAGAAGCTGGAACCAGCAAATGTTTGGCATTTTTGCTTGATAAATGACTGAAACTATTAATTTTTTTTTTTCATTTTCTTCTGTTGAATGACTAATTAATCCGCTAATCACTTCAGCACTAGAGTTTATTAAGGCACAAGGGAAACATAAAAAGGAGAGTTGAGTTTACATTAACTGCATATTATAACAGCAGCAGATCAGAAAACAAAAGAATACTCACACTTCTTCTACATGTAACGGGGTCAGTTAGTAAAAAGTTTAACATAAGACTGGTTCAAGAAATGCCTGGTTATCTCTGCAGCTGAAGCAAAAAAAATAATTTGAATTTATATATAACATTTTTTGATTTTAGCTATTCTACTTTGAAATGTGATTTTAATGCTGCTTTCTAATTAAGTGTTTTGAAAAAAATTTGATTTAAAACATGAGTAATATGTTGGTGCACAGCATCAGCTTCCATCTTTATACTCCTACAGTCTACTGGATTAACTCCTCAGACTAATGCATTCATACCCAAACACACGGTTCGCCATATAGCTGGTTTGTAACAGACAGTTTCCAGTATGAGCGAGTGTCCTGCCAATGGCGGAAAACAAATGAATGAAAAACACTAAGTGGCCAATCTTTTATCACAGCAGCCCTAAATGTTATCAATAACGATGGGAGGATGGAGTCACGAAGGGGGATGTGTGTGTAAATTGAAATCTGCTCAAGTGGAAAATTGAAGGCCTTTTTTTTATTCTCTAATTCTCTGGGCAGAAAAACACCCTCTGTCTGGCTATATCTTGGGCACATACATAAACAAAACAAACACACCCTCTCCTCCATTTCACTCTCTTTTATATTAATGTCTCTGCTCTTGCTCCCTGCCCAAGGTTCTGTCTGAGAGTGCAGCGATGGCTGAGTGGGTAGATTGAGGGGCCTGCCTGAGATTATCGATAATCCACCAGCAGATTTGACAGTAAATCAACTCATCCCTTAAGGTGCTCAGGGATTGGACGGAAAATTGTCTTTTCCTCTTCTCTCCTCTCACTCTCTTTCTTTGTTGCCTTTCCTTCTCTTTGTGTTACATCCATCCTCCTCTCCCTCCCCTCCATCCATCTTATTCCCCCACCTCTCTGCAAGAAGCAGCCGTTCCTTCTCCTGCTCTGACTGAACATAAATACCCTGAGCTTCTTAAGCAGCCCCACCACTCTTCTTCCAAAATAAAAGCCTACATAACAACAGACAGTCTCTTCAGACTCAAAGAGTGAAGAGCAACGTTGATTTTTTTTCCTGTCCCCAGTGGCCAGCTGGATTTGTAGCAAGTAATAACGTAAAGCTCTGCAACATTTTAATAATAAAAATAACAACAACAACAATAATAATAATAATAATAATAATAATAATAATAATAGTAGTGCGTGTTCAAATTCTGTTTAAAGAAGGAGTAAGATCAATCACATACGTGTTTCATAACTAATTTCAACTTACCCTTTCTACCATATATTCATTTTATTGAGGAGCTCAGTGATGAAAAATCTACTCTGCTCTGTTTCTGGACGGAAAATAATAAAAATAATAATAATAATAATAATAATAGCTTTTGTTTGCGACACTCAATGATGGAGGAGCCCAGAATCAGATCAGATTACATTTATTGCCAAAGTCTGTCTCAAGAGAACTTAAAGCACTCGGCCAAAATGTCTGAAGTACAATTGAACCAATAATGTGTCAATCTCTGGGGCTGGGGAATGAGGCAAACAAGCTCCAAAAACTGCAGTTCCTGGAACGGCCACTTGAGGCTGGCTCCAGCAGTGAGTCAATCTCCATAAGGCCCCATATTAAAATGCCTAACTTTACAGCAGAAATAAAACGTGTTAACAGCCTGGTACAAAAACTGTTTGGGCTTCTATAGCTAATTTTCCCATTTATAACAACAGTACGAGGAGTGAATCTTTATAGAACTCACCCGTTTAAGTCATATCATTCAAGACCTCAAGTTATGCATATATAAGACAGTGGCCACTATGAGTGACAGGTGGGTCTATTTTCAATAACCATGCTTTAATCAGCCTGCCTCAGCTCCACCCATGCTCCACCTCTTTTCACGTTTTTAAAAACAGCAAGACTACACTTAGAACGGCTTTTCAGAAACCTATGTCCATTTTTATTTATACAGTCTATGGAACCTAGTCTATGTGATAGGTCAGGAATCAATAAGTGCACACCTAAACAGTTTTTGTTTTCTTGACAGAAATGCTATATTGTTACCAAAAACCGGGTCGTTCCTTTTATGGGACATGAACATTTAGTATGCTGCCTGGACAGACACACACACACACACACACACACACACACACACACACACACATACACACAAAAGCATTTGATGTGGTTACTGTACACATTTCTCTCCTGTTACATGCTTGCTGATAAAAGAGAGCATAAATCATATAAAATGTGGCTTCAGACTAAGGGGAAGGGGGCTGTGGCAGGGAGGTGGAAGGGGGAACGGAGGGTGTAGCTGACAATTTGACAAGTCACTTTCAGGTCCCTGCCACCTCTGAACAATAATAGCAAAAGGGCCTTTCAACATGCAAAGGGAGCTTTATCAGCACGCTGCAGACGCAGGCTGCAGGTTAACATGAGAATGAAGCATTAGCAGAGACTGATAGCAGGCTGAGGGATAGCCAACACACACTATATACATCAACACAAACAGACAATCTATATATGTGTGTGTGTGTGTGTGTGTGTGTGTGTGTGTGTGTGTGTGTGTGTGTTAGTGTGTGACTTAGAGTTTAAGCAACAGAAAGCAATTGTAAAATGTCTGACAATGGCCAGATGATAGAAATCCATCACTGCATTATCTCCTCAACCAGGCCTCCACGACACACACAACATTACACACACACTCACACAGTTATCAGTGTGTGAGAAGGAGCAATGTAACGCTATATGACTCAGGCTTGAAATTACCTTGTTAGATTGCCAGCCAATATAGCTGCTAGATTTTAACGTTACCATTAACTCGGAATTTCCGTAAGCCAGTATAAAACTGATTTACCTGCACATAATGCTAAAGCACTGGACATTTTAAACATGAAATCTTAGTGCCTCACAAGCATAATGCACAAATAGTGCAGAGTTTATCCTGAGGCTGGTAATGCAGGAAGGGTCAAGGGGTCATTGAAATCATCTTTCTGGGAGCATCACTGTTCTCCAGTGTTCATATTGAGACTGGGCTTCAAGCTGATATTGTGTCATTTTCCTGTGTTATAGGAAAGCTCATTAAATGTCAATAATAGA